TATTCTAAGGTAGGGCTGGAGCGATAGCACAGTGGGTAGGGTGTTCGCCTTACAAGCGGCCAACATGGCCGACCGGAGTTTGATTCCTCTGCCCCTCTCAGAGAGCCCGGCAAGCTACCGAGAGTATTCGATATGCCAGACACAGTAACAACAAAGTCTCCAATGGAGACGTTACTGGGCCCGCTCGAGCAAATCGACGATCAACGGGAGGGCCTTTACCTTTACCTTTACCTATTCTAAGGTATTTAAATATTTATGGTAATTATGTTGATACTAATATAAAGAGGAATTTTTATTATTTCTCTTCATACTGGTTATTTTTCTCTATAGGAATATAACAGATTTCTGTATTTTAAAAGTTTTGTATTCTTCCATTTTTGATACCATTTTATCTTCAAATAATGATAGCTTTATTTATTCTGTTATAATTTAGATGCACATCATATCTTTTCTTTTTGTTTGTTCTTGGTTTTACTTCAAAAACAACATCAAAGGTGAGGGTGGGATAACTACTATATTATCTCTAAGATTATACTTGATCTTAGAGAAAAAGCCTTCATTTCATCCCCATTATTTTGGAGGTTGATGTCAGTGAATGGCAATGCTTTCTAACCCTGAGGAAGGTGGCACATGGCAGTTTGCTATAATATGCCTCATAGAGTATTAGTCATCATATAATTGTCTAAACCTTATTCAGACTGTCCAGCATCGCAGATTTTAGTTTTGTCATCTATTAAGCCTGTTTTTGCCTCTACACTTTGCCTTCATTATTCAAAGTATGTTAAGAGTGTCCAAATTTACCATAAGGGAATACTTTGAAGATTTTTTGATTTTAGAATTTCTCTGTCCATAGATAAGTTATTGATGTCCACAAGACACATGAAGAGGAAATTCTGTACTGCATTGCTTATAAAAATTTAAAGATTTTATTTATAAGAAACAAAGGTGTTTAAAGTATAGTAGAACAAATATATTTACAGAAAAATACTGTCCTCCCGTTGTTCATTGATTTGCTCGAGCGGGCACCAGTAACGTCTCACAACAAATTGTGAGACTTACTGTTACTGTTTTTGGCATATCAGATACGTCACGGGCAGCTTGCTAGGCTTTGCCCTGTGGGCAAGATACTCCCAGTAGCTTGCCAAGCTCTCCAAGAGAGGAGGAGGAATCAAACCCGAGTCTGCCACATGCAAGGTGAACACCCTACCCACTGTGCCATCACTCCAGTCTACAGAAAAACAAGTGGTTGAAATATAATGAGTGCAATGATGTTTAACACTACTTAGGATAATGACATAATATCACACAGAGAGAAGAAAAGAACCAAACAGATTTGAAGCAAGGAAAGTTAAGAGGCTTGAAGAAATTTAAGAAATATTTTGAGGTTGACTCATTAGAATTTATTAACTAGTTGAAAGTAGGAACAATGAGGAATATTAGGTACTAGGCAGGTATTAAGTAATATTTGAGAAAGAAAGGAAGGACTCTTGTGGAATTTGATACTGTGATAGTATGGATCTCTTGCTATTAAATTTATTCTCCATTCCCCTTCACTCCTTAGCACCACAGATAACATAAATCTTAACTGTCTAGTTTCCAGGCAGGTTTGTGTGGATTAGCATATGAAGCTCAGAGGCTGGGAGGAAGGGACAAGCCAGGACATCTCTCATAGTGACTCTCTCCTTGTAAAATTGTAGTTCCCACCAGAAAAGTGTACAGTCTTCGGTTTTGTTTTTGTTTTGTGGAGGCCACACCAGGCAGTGCTTATGGATTACTTCTGACTCTGCTCTGTTCAAGCATCATTCCTGGCATGGTTCTGGGGACCATATGGGGTGCTAGGGATTGAATCTGTGTCAGGCCAGAGCAAAAAAAAATGCCCCAACCACTGTACTACAACTATTGACTCCAAGCTTTCTGTTTTTGGTCCCAATTTATATAACTCTAACCTCAGTTATAGTTCAAGCACTAGTGTCAAGACTTGCCTTCTGTCTGTCTATCTTTTTCTATATGCTGCCTAGGAGAAATAGTGGTTTCTTGCTCACGCTATTCTTTAGGTTATCTTGCCATCCCCTTTACAGCTTTTTGTGATTTTTCATCAATGTAATCAAGTATTAAAGTTGCCCATTTGAAATAACTCAGTGGTTTATTTCCTCACTGATCAAATGAGTCTTGTATACACTGAGTAATTTGGAGTTCCCCATTCAAGACATTTTACAGTGGCTAGGAAATAGGTATCAAAAATATTAAGATAGATTTGAAAGGGCACATCATAGGTGATATTTAAAATTCTAAGTTTAGGTTTTTCAGGTGGATTGAGGATATGGGAAGATTGAACCAAAAACATTAGTGGAGTAAGTCCTGAAAGCCAACATCTTTCATTCGACCATGAAGTAACTTGAAAAGACTGAAAGTGAGTCAAATCTTAAAATGAATCAAATGCAGGTTGGGAATGTCACAGAAGTCAAATAAGGAAACTCTTAAAGGAAAGGGCATAAGAAAATCTAACTAGGTAGACACAGAGCATAGAACACATATAAAAAGTATGAAAGCAAATAAAAGTTCTATTGTATTTAGCAAAGAATCTCATTACTATGATTGTGATTGTCAGAACAGTTTCAATACAGTGCTGGGGAGAGGAAATTATGAAGATACTGATGGATATGGAAGATCATAGCCATCCATTAATGGGAGCTACCTTTTTAGGATTTGAGTCAATAAAGACTTTGAAGAAATGAAAACCTTAAGTTATATGAAAATAATACTAAAGAAATGAAGTAGGAAGATCTCACAAAAGAGGGAAAGGGATCAACTGTCTAAATGCAATGGTTATCAATTTTCAAAGACAGAGTTAATGAGGTTTGTCAAACATACATTTACAAGGTTACTACTTCAGCATTTTGAAACATGGAATTATCATGTATTTATGATATAGCTGTTTGTACAAAAACCACTAAATGATCTTTGTGTAACTACCCTGATGTTGTTAATTAAGACTGCATTATCTCTGTGTTGTATATTTTCTTTAAAATAGTAGGCTTAGAAATTAGTAGCAGAGACTGATGTGATTCTAGTTGGTGATTCTAGTTATTTTAACTAAACTTTCTACTGTTGACAACTGGGGTGAAATTTGCACAAAAGCTGAAGCCAGGGCATCTATTATTCCAAAAAAAAAAACTGCTTTCTACAGCATTTCTTCATTCGCTCTTCCATCCTGGGTCTGTCTGAACCTGTGGTGGTAGATCCTGCCTCTGCTTTGGTAGGACTTGGTCCCCAGTCAGGTAAATCATGGACATTTCCTCCTGTGGGGTCTCTGTCCAACATCATGTCACATCTAGGATTTCCTCCATGCTTGGTACCTGACACCCACTGTCACTGCCTCATTTGTCTCATTATTCTCAACAGCTTTTAACTTCCATCTAGGCATTCCAACAATGCTAAAATCTCCACAGAAGACTGATACATGTCAGTTGTTGCAATGTAAATATCAGTCTTTCTCTCTGGGAGTCACCAAAATACAACTTTTTGTGTCTGAGAGGGTGGGACGTGACATTGTTCTATAGTTCTGAGAATTCTACCAATTTCCTGTGACCAAGAGAAATAAACCTTTATTTACATAAAATTATACTAAGTTGGAATTAAATGAATATCAAATGTGAAAAAAATTAAGTTGAATATATTGATTCCTCCAATATAAGTTTGACCAAATAATGTCCAGGTAGTAGATTGAAGAGGACTTATACTTTTGGAAATTTAAATATTTAGAGTGAGGCATAATTAACTTGAATAATAGGTAACAACTTGTATAGGATTTAGTATGTACTATTTGTGTTACCATATTTGACACATTTTACTGAATTCAGTTCCCAAACAGTCCTACAGGTTGGTGACATTTGTCATAATCTCTGTTTCACAGAGGAGGAAATAGAGCTGCAAGGAGGAAAAGATTCCCCACTAGTCCCAAGAAGTCTGCATTTCAAGTCCTTTCTCCTTAGACAATATTACAACATAATGTAATTTACATCTAGTTAGCCCTATAGTTACCATTAAAATGATATATTTAAAATCATTTGGGTGGATAGAATAGGTATAGATTGCTTGTCTCCTCTAAAATGCATATTTGAAAGAAATTCTCCACAAGAAATAATTTTAAAGATTTTTAATGCACAAAAAGAACATCCCAGAAACAGAACAGGTACTGACTTATTAATGATGAAATACTATATAAAGGAGAAACCTCTCCACTTAGTAAATATGTATATAGTATATTTAGACGTGAAAGGTGGAAAACACTTTAGGGTTAAATGCAAACCCTAAAGTTGTATACAACATTCATATATGGCTTATTATCTCATAGCAATAATATTTTCATAAGGATGCATATGACATCTACATTTACGGGGAAGATGCTATTGACTCAAAAGTTAAACAAAAATGCCTAAGAGGTAGTTTGCCAATGCAAGGTGAGGAGAAAACCAAACAAACTTTACCTTGCTTTGGTTGTTTCCTCAAAAACTGCAACTATGTCTTGTTCTAGGTTTCTGGATTATCAAAAAAAAAAAAAACAAATAAAGATACTCTAGAATAAGCTCATTCATAACCCTCTGAGAAACAGTGCCCCTGAATGGTTAAGGGTGTTTTTGAAACAACTGTTTTTAAAATCCTCGGGGAAGTCTCCATAGTATTCCTTTTTGCTCTAGATTATGAAATGGATTTTTGGCTCAATGGGGACCAAGTGAAATCTGAACCAGCAGTTGCAGAAATTCATTCTTTTTCTCAAATCTATGCATGGTCTAATGGGGTTAACTTCTATAGTGACCCCAGAATAGTGGTAACTATGCTGTCATTATAAACCAGGGACTGCTTTGTGTATATGTCTATACATACACAAGAAGAGCATATGTATACACATTCACACATATAGCATATGTATATGTCCAAAAGGGTTTGAAAGTCTTAGCTTGTAAAATTGCATGATGAGTATTCCAAGTGACTGTATATAGTCCCTCATGTTTCATGAAGTCATCACATCTATACTCAAAGGGAGGTTGGGCTTTCTGACTGCTAGTTACTGCATGCTGCTTTATCTGCGAGAATGGAGGGGAAAGCACTATAGATATTCGAAATCTTTGACTCTGGCCATTTGACTATATACAAACTAATTTATCCTATCTTTACAATGAGAAGTAAGTTCATAAAGAAAAATTTCAAGGGGGTAACAAAACATTTGTCAACTCTCAAAATCTAGTGCAGTTACGAGACAATGGTTAGGAACCACTAGACACAGTGACATAATATTAATCAGGTATGACTTGGTACACATATGAAAGCATAAATATACAGGAGATATAAGGGCTAGGTGGAATCCCCGCAGACTATGTACATATTAGAGTTGCTGTGAAACTGAGCAGGGATCCCCGTAGTATTTCCCCAGCAAAAAGCAGTTTCATCCCCAAATAGTTCAAAGGTAACAGCTGCTGAGAACCATGTGGGGTGACACTAAGCAGATATCCACCTACACTGATCCTCGAAAACACGCAATGTGAGAGCCATGGTCCCCAGTGAAATAGCACTTTGCCTGCCCAGCATCTTCTTTGACACAAATATGCACAGGTCCATTCTCCAATGGTGGTCCCACACATCTTGCCTCTCTGCAGTGCCAGGGATGGACCTCTGGCTCCCACGGAGTCAAGTCACAAGCTGTTCACATCCTCCTGCTTCCATGGTCTCAGGTCACAAATTCCTGTCTTCACAGTCTCCAGTCTCCAGATGCAAATCAAAGCATAAATAACAGAGCCCACCCCCGTGGGTCTTCCTCTCACAAGGTTAGTGGGAACAGATGCTGGTCAGGGCCATCGAAAGGCTGCCCACCAGTGTCCATAAATGGAGAGTAGCTTTGTGCACTTTTGCAAAACACACCCCCCTCCCCAGGTCCACCTTCTGCGTCTTTCATTTTTTACTGGTTTGCTCTGTCCGTAGCTAAGAAGACACTGTGTTGCTCCTGCACCCTTTCTATCAGCTTCCTTTTCTTCTTCTTGTTCTTCTTCACTTTCCGTGTTCTCTTCCCTAGAGTGCGGGAGAAAAAAGAAATGAAGACTATGTCAAAGGAAAAAAGAGAGAGAGACCCTTTCTGGAGGAATGAAAACACAAAACATTAATAGTTTTACACAAAGCCCATCTGGAAAACATCACCTATGAAAAAGCAGTCTCAAAGAGAAAATTGTTCACATTAATTTTGACGGAATAATAATAATTTCCTAAATTGGATATGCTGTCTAAAACAGACTGATCTTCCTGTTACGGAGAACTGGCATATTTAAAAACCTCCCAGCGGCCTGATCAGTCTTGCAAATATCATCCTGCCACAAAAATTCCATTTGTCCCCTCCTACTTTTAACAATGCAGCTCTTTATTAGCCATCTTTACATCTTTCTCCTACTCCACATGTCAGTGGGCTGAAAGAAAATAAGCATATATCTTCGGTAAATATACCAGAAATTTCAAAATCCCTCTCCCAGCCCTATGGGGGGAAATGTCTTGCTTTTAACCTAATTCCATACATGTTCTCCAAGGATGAAGGTAGGACGTATGTGGAAGAGTTCTTTATTTTCTATAAAAATTCTCGAAGGCATCATTCATTAGGGGCCATGAGGTTTCTCATCCATACTCACTAGGTTGGGTGGAGACGTTACTGGGCCCGCTCGAGCAAAATCGATGAACAACGGGAGGACTGTGACTGTGACTGTGACTCACTAGGTTAATGTTCTTATGAAGTGTTCTTATTAATAGGACAAGAAAAAACTGCTTCCTCCCTCCCCACACCCCATCCACCCAGAGTAGTATAATATTACTACCAGAAAAAAAATCTCACCATGTTATTCTATTTCTCCTCTTTTCCTTGCTACTAGGAAGCCCAAACCACAAACTGAATAGTTGAGGTTTTCCTCCATCAGGTTTTAAATGCAATTTCCCCTGCTCCTTTTACTTGTTGCCTCTATGGTCATGGTACTCAGTCTTTATCTTTAACATTTCTCAGCAAGCATGTATACGTTTTTTAGAAAAAAATAAATGAGAAACATAGGCATGTTCTTTAGGTCTATTACCCTCTTGAGGTTCTAAACACAAAGCACTCATGAAATTTTGAGAACAGAAATGAGCTTAAAGTGCATCTATATTTTATAGTACGTAAGTCATTGCATTACACCTTCAGTTCAAGATGGTAATTTCTGCTTTTTACTTTGGGTCACACTTAGCAGCTCACAGCTTACTCCTAGGTCTGTGCTCAGGGATCACTTCTGGCAGGCTGGGGGGACCATATGGGGTACCAGGGATCAAACCTTGGTTGGCCACAAGCAAGGCAAGTTCTCTACCTGCTGTACTATTGTTTCAGCCCAAACAAGGTTCTGACTCAATCTATAATAATCTTATTGTCAGCTGTTCTTCTTCTTATATCTCCTACTCTTAATTTTATTATCTAGCTCTACAGAACCTAAGCTTTCTCTTCTGTTGTCATACATATTAGACACTGCAGTATTTAGTAGCACAAATAGAACATTCTCCAGTATTTAGTAGCACAAATAGAAAGAATAGTTCTCTTTCTTTCCAACTTTCCCCCATCTAAGAAGTCAAAATTCCAGATCCTTTTATTACAGGAACATAGGTGATCAGTTTTTCAATACAGAGAACAGAAAAGGAAGCTGTGATAAGAAAGAAACAAACCAGAAGTTAGGAACATAGATACAGGACTCAAGAAATAAGAGTCACACTAGTTTGAGAGACTATGAGATTTCTGAATAAAGGAGGTGTTGTCCATTTTGTCTTTCTGATCAGAGTTTGTTTTGTTTAAGAATAAAAAACAGTCTCACTATTAAGACTCTGGCATGTGGCTGATAGAGTGGACATTCAATAAGTGTTTACCAAGGATACTTTTTTATGATAACAATTTCTTTTAAAAATTGTAACTCTTTAAGAAGAGACCACTGTACAATAATCAGAATGTGATCATGCATTCATATTAAATTATGAAAAAATTACAAAGGTCCTTGAAGCTAGCTGGTGGTTCTCATTAAATTCTGGCATTAATATTATAATGGCATTTTGCCATTTCTAAATGTGCCACCCAGGGAAGCCATAAAGTCATCATTAATCAAAGAAGCAATAAAGTTATAACTACACAGTAACTTTACTGAAGCACACTTTACAAAGGTACAGATGATATACTTTTCATAGAAAGGAATTTTTAAAAAGAAGCTTCAATTAAACTTTTATGGAGGTTTTCTTATTGCTGTATTTTCTCTTTACAACAAAAAGAGTTCTTAATAAAAAGAAAATCATCTCTGGGATCGAGAGAGAGTACAGAGGTCAAGGCACCTGGATTGCATGCAGCAGACCCTGATTCAGTTCCAGGCACCTCTTTTGATCCCCTGGGCACTGGCCAGGACGTAAGCCCTGAGCACAGCTGGGTGTGTTTCAACATTACTTCAACCAATCATCACTGACCATTGTTTCAATGGATTTATTTAAAGCCTAGAGTTTCTTTTAAAAGCAAATCAAAAATCAGGTGAATAAAAAAATGCTACTCCTATTATCAGATTTATAATGTTGTTTTGTTAAGATAGAAATATATTGAATGTTAAAGAACTTTTCATATATTCTTTCAATTCCTATATAAATTATGCAGTTTAACATAAAATATATACTACTTACACTAATAGCAAATCTGTGATAAATGACTGAAAACTCATCTTTTAAGTGTTTTACCTAATACTTTTCCCTAAGTTTTATCTAACACATTACTCAAATCTCATTGTCAATATTATGGTCTTTAGATTTTCTGTTAGTAAAGAAGGTATAAGGAACAGTAATATCATAAGGAAGTGACTCTATGGTATAAAAATTCATATCATGGCCAAAATTTAGCATTCTTTTGAAAACTTACAAAGTTTTCAAATTGTACAATTGTTCCATTGGCAAAACTCATATGGTACCAGTTCTAACTAGAGATGTTTGGGGAAACTCAATTACAACCATTTTTCCTCAGAAATTTCTTTTGAATGACATTTCTATGCGATTGGTTCATTGCTTGGTTTTATTTTTTTCAGCCCATTTCTTGTGTAGGATATTTTTCAAATAGTGAAGAATTAAGATGATCAGCCAAGATTTGACCACAGAGAGGCTTAAATTAACTGAAAATATTTTGTGGTTAATAGGCTGTTTCGACTTTAAGACCAACTTGAAATAATAAAAGAATATTAAAACATAATCTAACATAAGGTATGAAAGGGGTCTTGGACATAATTTTAAATCCCTGAGATTTTTTTAAACATGAAACTGGTAAGATTAAAGTTAACAAAAAAATAGTTTCCTGTTCTTACCTATCCAAAACTAAGTTATTTTGGACATAAAATCAGGCAAATTTGTGCTTCTGTTAACCTTGTTACATCTACTGGTATAAGATTAGATGGAGAATGACTTCCAGACTTCAGATTTCTTCATATTTTCAAGTTTATTCATCCTGTTCACTTAAAGTAGCGTACGATCCTAGTCACCCATAGAGTAAGCATAGATTTAACTTTTTTTTATATATGTCATGAGATAAGATTTGAAAATTAAATTCCCATGAACCACAAAAAAAAAAAGTTTGGAGCTTTGAGCAGAGATTGGCAGCTTCCAGCATTGTTGACACTGTTGACAAGTCCTACCTGTGTTTTCCTGGAGTGCTTTCAGAATGCAGTGACTGTGACAAATCCTTATTGAATAAACCTCTTCAAGACAAAGCAGCATATGCAATCTACCAAGAAGGCTTTTTTTGTACTCTACACATTCTTACAAGAAGATTGGTCCAATTATTACCATTTTGCAAGAAAACACCATGCTTAACAGAAAAGGGTTTCCTGTCTAAGGAAGAGCAAGGTAGTTTTGCAACTCAGATGTCTGATGAGACATTTGTATATGTCTTTTAGTTTCTACACTGAATGAAGAGGTGATAATAATCTTACTCTTGGAAGTTGTGTGTGTGCGCGCACGCGTGTGCATGCTTGTGCATGTGCGTGCATGTGTGTGTGTGTGTGTGTGTGTGAGAGAGAGAGAGAGAGAGAGAGAGAGAGTATGCAAAACAGTTGTGCTCCTAGGATGAAAGATGTGTAAAATATCACTAGCAGGACAAGATTATCATCAAAATGAGCAAAATCAGAGATACCATCAAAGCCACACTCTAACCAACGTAATTATGTTGATTTGCACACATGTGGAAATGGTCCAACAGGATGTCTGTCATATCAACTTTTCTGTAGAGCAAAGTGAATTGTCCCTTCTGGAAATACTAATGTCCAGCTGTAGATTACTGCTATTAGAATCAGAAGAAATAGATTATTTTGAACTGAGATATCAAGCTGACTCATAAATTACATGAAGCTGTGAAAATACCGAAAAACTCAGACATAAATTTCTCTCTCTCTCTCATAAACTCCCATATTCAAAGGACTTCAGAGTGGTATATGCTCTTACCAGTCCTAGGTGAGAGTCTTTTCATCACTGGATCAATGCATTCAAGTATCAGTATGGAACAAACGTTATCTAGGGTTTCCATTATGATTATTAGATGTTTTAAGAAAAACTCGATAATGGTAAATTCAATGAGAAAAGAAGAAAAATTATATAGCTGTGACTATAAAAAATATAGCAAAACACAACAACAATTTTTTTTTCTTCCACATAAACACACAAACTATGGAAAGTAAACTGTAGAGAAGACAAATGTAACTAACTAAATACCACTGGTATTAGTCACCTGAAGCCAGAATTAATACTAAATTTTACTGTTTGTAATTGCTCTGTCTTGAAACCTGGGCTCCACCATATTAAGAAAATGTACTTTATTTAAACAATTAAATCTCACAATTAACTCTGTGAAAATTGCCTCTACAGAGATTCTTAAAAGTAAAAGTACCTAAAAAGTATTAAAATATAATTTTTGACTCAAACCAGGAAAAAAATTTAAACTTGGACAGATATTTATGCACACAGATATGGTTAAAATTCTTTAAAATGTAAATTACCTAAATGGA